AACGTTATAAGCAGTCCTAATGAGCCCTGTTCACTGTATCTCCTTCTAGACTAAGGAAGCAATAAGTCTCAAATACTCTAAATTGGTATATACTTTCAAATTTGAGGTTATAGAGATCTATTTCAGATTAATAAAAGCTACCCTAGAGGTTCCCTGCGAGCTGTTCTTCACTATTGTCAGCTTTTACTATTTAGCTTCTATTGCAAAATTTTTTTCTTCTTTGTCCGTTGCATGTTTAAATCTCACCCGTTAAAACGAGTTACAGACAAGCTGGAGGACTCTGGGTAAAACGTTCCTCCACTCCTCCACCACCTCTCAGCTTAGATCCAACTCTTCAGGTAGATCCCACAGTGCTGGCATTAAAGGCGTGTGCCACCACTACCCGGCTTTGTCTTTGCTTTCTAAAACTCTGATTTCAGAGCTGGGTATAGAATGCTGGTAGACTGTTTGCACGTACAAGGCGTGCAGGTTTCGAGTCCCAGCACCACCACAAGAAAAATAATTGAAACTAAGCAAAACAAAACATTTCCAAAGATTACAGGCCCATTGCTTTAGTAGACTGTTCCTAAAGTTGGGCTTATTTGATACTTCCTCCTGGTCGGAGTTGGGTAGACTTTCCTCTTCCTGAAATACCACATAAGTGACATTGGGTTCTCAGTATATCTTAGCAGGAAGCACAAGTCAGTCTTTCCATTATTCATCAGAGTCCCTTTAATTGCTGCTGTTAATGTGTGGCCTGCCAGGTTTCTAGGCCTTATAAAGTTACTGCAAGCTCTTTATAATTGACGTGTGATCTGTGAAGCTGTGCTTTGTGTCGTGGAAATGTCTCTCTCCCTCAGCGAACATCTCTTTCCCTTTGAGTTAAACAGCAGTGAACCTTGTTTCAACCGAGTGCTATTGTATTGGTTGGGAGACGGTGGTTTGCTACTGTATTGGTTTTTTGTTTGTTTGTTTCTTCTGTCTTTAGTTGGACTTCTACTGTGGGGGTGGGACGGGATGGGGGGGACTTCTCTTCCCAGCTGTCCTCAGTATAGAATCGTTACTCGCTAGGCTATAATTAATTTCCCTCATAATTTACTTTGATGTTAAAAGTGTTCCAGATTTGAGCAGAGGAAATGTCGTCAGACTACTCCCCGGGTCCTTTGGAAATGCCTCCATTTATTTTGTGTCATCTTGTAAGAAAACATTTTGATTCAAGTTCCCTTTTATCCTCCCCTGCTCCTACCTTAAAACCAGATCATTCCTCTAAAAGCCAAAGTTCTTTATTATTATTATTATGTATTCCAATGTTCTTTTGTAGTAGGGAGTGATATAAAGAATTTAAGATCTAGATGGTAGACCAACACTTAGGTAAGATACATCGATAAATTACACAAATAAATAAATAAACAAACAGGGGGTCAGTTTTTAAAAAGTTGCTTTGGAGAGCTGGAAAGATGGCTTTTGCAGAGGATTTAGGGGTGTTTCCCAGCACCCAGGAAGGCCCCAAACTCGCTGAGTTGCTGGAGCTGACCTTGAACTCCAGCCCCTCCCCCTGTTCCTCCCTCCCTAGAGCTGGGCTCACAGGACTACCACCTGTGCTGGGGGTTGAAGGTTCTGTCTGTGCTAAGCCAGTTCTCTACCATCTGAACTGCATTTCCCACCCTTAACAAACGCCTTAAAGGAAAACATTCCCAGGTTGCACTCCAGAAGAATCCAGTGTGTGTGTGTGTGTGTGTGTGTTACTCCTTTGAGGTAGTGATTGTGAGAACTGGGCTTTCATTCAAATCCGTTGCCTATGGTGCAGTAGGAGTTAGGTATGGTGTCTCTGAATGTATTTGTCTCTGTAGCCCACTTAGAAAAATGTGATTTTAAAAAAGGTGTTTTGAATAGCCATGCACTGATGGCACACACCTTTAATCCCGGCCCTCAGGAGCATAGACAGGTGGATCTCAGTGAGTTTGAGGTCAGCCTGGTCTACAGAGTGAGCTCCAGGACAGGGTTATGCCAGCAAACCCTTGTTATTTCCATAGCTTTATAACACATTCTCAAGCTCGCGTAGCAAGCACCGTGCCCACTAAGCCTTCTCCCTGGCCTCTGTAGAGTCTCTTGAAGGCTGAGACTCGTCCCCCAAACTATGAATTCTTGTTATAAAGCTATGGAAATTAATACTACAATCTGAGGATGGATAAATTTGACCTCAGTGCGACAGAGTAGAGAACTTAGAAACAGACCAGGCGTTTATGGAAGCTTGATATAGATTTGATAGGTCACAGGACTTGTACAAGGTTAAGCCAGTGACAGAGAGGGTAGGGCTTGTGAGTTTCCAACCCTAGCTGAGCATCCAGTTGATGGATGCTGGGGTAAGGAAAGCCAGTCTTCTTTAAGGTGTGGCCCTAGAGTTGACCTAGTCCAGGGGATAGCACCACACCATGTATATAGGCAGCGTGAACTAGGCATGGTGAGCTATTAAAAGAGTAAATGAGATAAGGAGGGAAGTTGGGAAAGTGAGTCTGAGTGGTGGTAAGGGAGCTGGGGATGTGAACATAATTAAAACATACTGTGTGCAACAAAGATGTCTCCAGACATTACCAAATGTCCCCTGGGGCATAGTATTGTCCCAATTGAGTTGAGAATCGCCTATCTACCTATATATGTTACACACACACACACACACACACATCTCATTGTTTCAAATAGTTTATAATAAAACCAAGTTTAAGATGGATGCCCGTGAAACACAAGCAGAAAGGCATCGTTAAGAGCAGAGTGCACCTGTCCCTGCTGCAGGCCTTTGAAGTCGGACCTGCAGAGCAGTGTGGGAGACAACCCCAGAGAAGTTGAGTAGCTGATGACAGCCTTAGAAATGGAGCCCAGTATCAGAATTCCATACCTAGGTACACTGGGGTCGGGGGATGTCTCCACCTTTTGAAAATTCTTTGGGAAATCTAAAAGTTTAACTCTGCTTAAAAATCACCTGCTTAATTTAAAATAATCTATTACTGACGTGCACTTGAGATACAGGACCCTGAGGATCCGGGCTGGAGCTGACCTGAAAGCCTTCTCTCCTGAGGACTAGCTTTCCCACTTCCAGAAGGTGCTGGGTGAGATTTCAAGGGAAGGAAGCAACTGGCAGTCAGTCCCAGCCAGCTGTGTTGCTCGTGAGCCGTAACAGTGACCAGCAGGGCAAGCCATCCCTAAGGGTGCGATAGCGGTGTGCATTTCCCGGCAGTAACCAGCAGCTCTCTGATTGGACTTAAGGCCTGCCTATTAGGAAGGGAACTCATGCCTGGCACTGGAAACCTAGGCAAGGATCAAGGCTAGAGAGGCCGTGGGTCTTAGAGGAGAGACTGCTCTCCTTGTCTTAGCAAAGCAGCATAGTTCTTAACTGCATCCTAAGGACTTATCCCCAGATCCACAAACAACTGCAGCTTCCCTTTGCAAAACACAGACCATTACAGAGAACCACAGCTGCAAAACTGCAGAGAACAGCTGGCCAGGGGTGCTAGACCCGGTGGATACATCTACAACACAACCCCTACACCTAAAGCCCAGGACACATGGAGGAAGAGGGAGCAGAAAGGTTGTAAGAGCCAGAGGACCAGGGATTCTGCTGGGAGACTGTCTCCTAGAAACGACAGGGAAGGTATACCCCCAACACTTCAGTAACAGGGTTGCTGAAACAAAGCGTGACTGAGGATAACACCAACAGAATGCCAACACTGAACGGGCAGATCTCACGGGACCCCATTCCTACAAAGAACTAAGCTAAAGTATCCTGGGAGCTGGAAAACTAACCCTCCCCTGGGATGAGCTCCCTAATTGGTTACCCAATACCAATTGAGTGGTGAGCCCTGAAATCATACACATAGCCAGCAACACTGAATAAACTCAGAAGCTAGTGTTTATGTATTTAGGGTATATATCTCTGTCTGTCTGCCTGCCGATCTATCCGCATGTTCTTATGCGTGTTAAAGGAAGAGAGGTCATGCGTTTGTGAGGAAAGATACAAGAGAGAGCTTGGAATGAAAGGGAATGGGAGTGAAGTAATTATCTTTAATAAATGTTGAAAAATATTCCGTTACCAGAATAAAAAGAAAAATGCTGTCTGTCACGTTCAAGCCAAATAACATCTGGATTTTAAAAATAACATTCTGAAGAAGAACAACACTATTATTGATTTTTTAAAAATAGAACCCATGTTTATACAAGTCCTGTTTTCTAAGGCCTTGGGAAAGGTCCCTATATTTTATTACGGTTGAGAAGTTGGTTAGACCTGTGAAGTCGTTACCATCTAACTGTATTCCCTCATGACTGGGAAAGCTCTAGAAGCAAGTGCAAAATAGTGGGGGTGGGTGGGAGCTGGCAGATAGCTGGGTGGGTGAAGGAGCCTGTTGCTAAGCTAGACGGGTGCAGTTTGAGTCCCCAGAACCCGTACAGTAGAGCACTATTACAGCGTTGTACACCAACCCCCCGATATATAAGAAAAATATAAGACCCACGTAACGTGTCATTTTTGCTCTTGGACGACAAGGGTCCGAGAACACCTGCTCACCACTGCCCCGAGGAATCTTCAAGCCTCCAGTTCTCAGGCTCAAATTATGGTCACATTCAGCCCGCGATGGGGGTTATTTTAATATTAGTTTTATTATGTGTGTGCCTGTGTCTGTCTGTCTGACTACTTGTCTGCTTACTTACCTGTCTGCCTGTCTATAGCTTGAGGATGTATGTTTGTCTGTTTCTCTGATAACAGGTAGTTAAAGGAGGGGAAAGGCAAAGAAATTGGGGAAAGCTAAGGGGAGGGGTGTGATGAAGAGAGACCTGGGGAAAGAGGATGCCTTGGGCAAGTCTTTCTTTTTTTTTTAACTATATAATCCATAGAATGCAAAAATCAGGTGAGACATATTACAAAGCACCTCATGTTTCCGTGTTTCAAAATGGAACACAGATGGTAAGGCAACCATCACTGATGGGTATCTTTTTTTTTTTTTTTTTTTTTTTTTTTTGGCACTAGCTCTTACCATATGTCCAGCTCCGAGGAGTACTCGGTGGCTCCCAGCAAGGCATCAGGTGGCCGGTACCAGAGCGTCACCACTTCTGAAGAGTACGTCTGGCTAGGAATGGACTTGGCTCGAGCAAGACCTGTCCAGAGAGGATAGAGATAGCGCTTGTTACCCTGGTCTTTTGGGGAGGCACGGTGGCACGCTGCACGGGGAGAATACACAGCAGAGTAGACAACACGAAAGATAACGTGTCGGTGGTGGGTGCTCTCACCAGAAGCTGTCAACTGTCCCGAGGTTTGCGTGTACGGCAGCAAAAAGAGTTCTTAATTTTGACCTTTGGTGTAGTGAGGTGAGGCGGCCAAATGTGGTCAGGTGACTAAGTTCTTGCTTACTTGGTATGGGCAGAGGTGATGTTGAACTTCCAGGTCAAGCCCTTAGTGGATGGGTGGTAGATTCAGATTCCCTCTGAGCTGTGTTGAGCTGTAGGTGATAACTACACTGAAGTAGGCACTTGGGCTATATCTGAAGGACCGTGAGCCACTTGACAAGTGAAGATTGGGAAAAGACACTCTGGGGTTGCCATGACAGCTCTGACTGCCGTGCTGAGGGATGGTTTTTTCTAGAACACCCTTTCATTGCACTGTGGGTCTCTACAGTAGCAGCGAAATAACTTGTAATTCCTATACTTGGGAGACAGCACCAGGAGGGTGGCTGCCAGTTCAAGGCCAGCCTGGTCTACACAGTGGGTTCTAGGTCAACCAGGGCTGCATGGAGAGACCCTGTCTCAAAAAATTTTTACTGAACAGTTAGTACCATACTAGGAATATGACGATAAGCAAAAACAGACTCTTAACTACTTTCTTGTAAAGGAGAATAAAATCTAAAATCACATATATATGTGTATGTGTTTATGCATTCTGTATCACGTATCTGTGAATAAATGGAAAGACGCCCTTATAGAGGAAATCTGCATCCTTTGCTAGGAATATTGTCAAGGTGTTGTTGACATTTAAGGGTGAAGAAACAAATATCATTTCTATTTCTGCAGGAGTCCATGCTACATTCTAGGATCAACTTCTCTATTCTGCCATCCTGGGATAGCCGTGATCTATTCTGATATAGTTGTCATTAACCACTTAGATATGGGGATATCTCCTAAGTACAGTCTATTCTACAGGCGCCACTATCTCAAAAGTGACCTATTTGAGGCATCTGGCTAGATGTCTTGATGAAATTCTAGAAAACTTCCACACTCTCCCTCCCTCTTGCCTCACATTTCCTGGATGTCAATCTGACATCCAACAGGGCATCGTGTTTTGGGGCTCTAGATTTTAAAGGCCAAGCCTAGCCAATGCTTCAAGTAAATACAGACAAAAGACTCATTGTTCATAGACCAGAAGGAGACCTGAGGGCGACTCACCAAAATCAGCCAATTTGAGCTCTCCCAGGTGACTGATGAGCAGGTTCTGAGGTTTCAGGTCCCTGTGAAGAACGTGCTGGTGGTGGATGTATGCCAGGCCCCGCAGAAGCTGGAACATGAAAAGCTGGAAGAGATGAACACCATCCCTCAGGACACGGGAACGGCAGTGTGCTGATTTCATCTCTAAGTCAAAAACGGCCCTCTAAAAGAATATAGTGAACATGTCTCTTGAGAGATGAGAGAGAGAGAGAGAGAGAGACAAAGAGACAGAGAGGCAGAGAAACCATTCAGAAAGAGGAGGAAGGGTCAAGGGAACCAAATAGACTACATCCCAAACAAAGGGATTCTGGCTTTTCCCAACATCTTGTTCCTTTGATACTGAAGGAATTGCCCTTCCTTAAAATCTACAGCAAAACCTTGAGGTCTCCTTAGAAGCATTTGCAGCTGGTTTAGCTGTGAAAGATATCATTTTTACCTACAGATGACTTGGTATGTCAGGTCAAAGTTGATTTGGAAATGATTGAGTTTATTATACTTGTTATGATTTTCCAGGTTCCAATATGAACTCTTTTAATCTATGATACCAAAAGACCCAACTGGGAAATATATTTTAGATGGCATTAAGATATAAATGGGGGGGGTAAGATGAGTCAATAGGTAAAGTACTTTCTGTGTAAGCCTGAAATCCTGTGTTCAATACCCAGAACCCACATAAAGGTAGGAGGAGAGAATCGACTCCACAAAGCTGCCCTGTGTACACACACACACGCACACACACACGCACACACACACAATGCTTATTTGTTTACTTTTTAAGTTTGAGAAAAAGAAATAAAGGAACCATTGTATTCATAAATTATCTTAAAGCCTTAAATTCAAAGTTGAAAACAAAATGTAATAGAAATAATTGCACAAGCAAGAAAACATTTACTTCTCTGCATAGCTACAGGACAGGACTTTTTTTTTAACTAGAAATTTAAAGCATTTTATTTTATGTATATGAACGTTTTGCCTCTAATGTACGACTGTGTCCCAGTTGCATGCAGTACCCACAGAGACCAGAAGAGGGTGGTAGACCCTGTGGAAATGGAGCTACAAATCTCTGCTATGCGGGCGGGCGCTAGAAACCAAACTTTTTTTTTTTTTTTTAAGTGACTGAGTCAAGTCTCCAGCTTTCCAGCTCCTTACTGAGCTCTTGTTTGTTTGTTTGTTTGTTTTCATCCTTCTCAGCATTTCAGTGTCTGGTATGTGTGATCCTCCAGCCTCAAAGTACGTCTTCCTCCGAGCGTTCTATTTAGCAGCTGGAACGCCCCTTGGCATCCGGCTCACCTTCGCACAGCGACCGGAGGCTAGACCCAGTCTAGACGTCAATGCCGGCTCGCTAGCGCCTCTTCTCTGCTTCCTCCAAGTGTCTGACAGAACTCCGCCTCTGAACTGCTCAGAATGCTTGCTTTCTCTCCTCCTCTATTAGAACGGTTGAACACTACCACGTTTAAGAAGGAAAGGTGGTGTCCAAAGGTGGCTCACTGACTCTGAGCCCTGGCTGCTCTTGTAGAGGACGAGAGCTGGGTTCCCAGCGCTCACACAGAAGCACACAACCATCGAGTTCCCTTTTTTGGTTTCTACTCATGTACGCATATACATACGATTTAAAAAAATAAATCTTTCAAAACAATAATAATAAACCCCCCACAAAACATAGTTATGCAGACAATTTAATAATTGTTTTGTTATATTGTTATATTTAATAGTGATTGTTTTGTACCCATGAGGGTTCTTGCCAGAGGGGAGCCTGGCTCTTAAATTACTCACCCTGACATTGTGAGGATGAAGGCCTCCGGGATGCTGAGACATGTACTGGGCCAGGTCTGTGTGCTAAATAGAAAGGCAGGGAAAGAGGACAGAGGTCAGCGGCGCTTGGACAGTATCCTGCATCGCAACATGTACCGGAGCAGGCACAACAAAAACGCGGATGTTTAGACTAAAGGGCGCTTGGACAGTATCCTACATCACACCGTGTACCCGAGGGGGCACAGCAAAAACGCGGATGTTTAAAGTATAAAAGGAGTTATAGCCAAATTTCTGTGAGGCAGACAGAGCATGTCTTCTAGCTGGCTGCCGGCACATCGGAGCCCGTTCTTGGTACAGAGACACTCCATTTGAGTGGTTCTTGGTACAGAGACACTCCATTTGAGTGGTTCTTGGCACAGAGACACTCCATTTGAGTGACTTGTTCTGAACACAGCAAAGGGAACCTTCACTTTTCAAGTATCCTTGAAGGCAGGTCAAGTAAACTCCTCTCAGGATTTCTTTCTGCTCATTTGAATTTTTTTTCCCCTTTCAAAAGTACAAATTGAGTCATTAATAGGCTGATATATGGCATTTAAATATCTTGTATTTTATATCTTTCCGTTTTGCCAAAAAAACAAACCAGGTTCTATAAGTAATTAAAACAGCCTTTAAAAAAAAGATTTATTTATTTATTATGTATACAATATTCTGTCTGCATGTATGCCTGAAGGCCAGAAGAGGGCACCAGATCTCACTACAGATGGCTGTGAGCCACCATGTAGCTGCTGGGAATTGAAGTCAGGACCTCTGGAAGAGCAGCCAGTGCTCTTAACCTCTGAGCCATCTCTCCAGCCCAAAACAGCCTTTTAAAAGCACAGAGTTTTATGAGAAAGCAAATACAGAATCCTAGTCTATTCCTGGTGGCAAGGGAGACAGGACAGACAAAATCCAGGTAAAGAGGTGCAACTAATTGCTGGCCAGAGCAGCAAGGCCCTGCCTAGCCCAACGATCCATCTTACCTTCCACATCATAATGAAAGTTTTATCATGCCATAAAATATTAACAGATTCATTATACAAGCACCAGGCCTTTTCCCCTCTGTGCTGGAAAAGTCTAGAGAACTCACCAAATATTCAAACACGAATGTCAGAGTCTCCTTGGTGTGAACGATGTCGTGCAGAAGGACAATGTTGGCGTGCTTCAGTCCCTTCAGGAGAGAGGCTAGGAAGATTTAAACAAGAGGGGACCGCCATCACTGATAAGAAAGGCAATAGGTCTGGCAATCTTGAGTTCAATCCCTGAAACCCATGCAAATAGGTAGAAGACAAAAAAAAAAAAAATGACCACACGAAGTTGTTTTCTGACCTCCACATAGGCATCATGGCACGGCTTTGAACACGCATGCATGGGCATGTGTGTGAACACAGACACACACACTAAGAACAATAATTTTAAACTTTTAAAAATATCCCTCTTCTATGCCATTACCCTGGGGCTACTTCTCATAAGGCCGTAACTATGCAAAGAATACGTTATGCCCTTGATCAGGTTGGACTCAGCAGAATTCCCGTCAGCCAGGCGTGCCCTCCTCCGTCTCTGGGAACAGCTGAAGTGAGATTTTAATCAGACCCTTTGTTGATCTTATCGGATGACCCCCAGCAAGGTTCCTGAACCTCTTTTTTTTTTTTTTTTTTTTTTTTTTTTGGTGAGTTTTCTCACAAATAGATTAGAAAGAAGTAAGTACAATGATCCAAAGGGTTTTCAGCCACAATGTTTCTAGTTTAAGTGCTGCCGTTGCAGGCTTCTGTAGGAGAAACTGGAGAGCTGCTGATCACACACAATCAAGCCGTTTTCTGGAGTCCTGCTTCCCAATCTGCCTTCATTTTCACACAGACAGCATCACAGAGCGGAGGTCTGTTTTTCCGCTTTTCCTCTTGCTGAAGGAGAGTCAATCGAGCAAGCCTTTGCGGTTTTATGTAGTAGAGAGAATTTAAATGTAACTGACAGGAGTTCTAATACTGAAGAATGCTATGACTCCAGGCAAATTTCCCAGCCTCCCTGAGGTTCAGACTCCTTCATTTCTATAACAACAAACGCCATTATATTGTACTTCTGTCGTTAGTGTAAGGGATTGACAAAGACATGGCGGAGGAAGGAGTGTCACATTTCTGGATCTCAGGACAGAGTGTATATGTGAAAGTTATGAGTGTTTGAATTAAGTTTGGTTTGACCATATGATATCATGTCTCTAAAGGTGTTAAGGATGCATGCAAGCTTATTAAGATTTTCCCTTAGCGCTGTTCAGACTTTCGTTCCTTTCATATTACATATGGAGATCCCACGAACATCAACTTGCATTCTGCCTACTGAGAGACTCTCCATGTAGCAAAATTCTACTCAATAAATCCCAGGCTGCCCCACCCTCAGAGCAAGCAGACTTCTCGGGGAAAGAATTCTTGCGTCAAGGGTTTGGAAAGAAGGCTGCCTTAACTCTGAGTTTTTCCCGCGTATGGCATCTTGTTACCTTTCTAGCCAGTGACCCTGGATTTTAACTAATGAACACCAGCTGCTCCTATCTTGCTTTCTATCCCTCTCCATTTAACCTCGGTCTCTCTGGCCTCACATCCATCGAGATCTTAACCAGGGAGACTTGAACCAGTGTCAAAAGTTCTTTAAGTGGGGCCTCGCTTTCAAGGCTGCGAGCTTTCACGCCGAAGGAAATAGAAGCGGCCATTGTTGGAAGCTGGAAGCCAAACCACCTCCCATGTGTCAAAATCCTTTTGTGGTTTTTCATATCATACAAGCAAAGCTTTCAGTAAGGGGCAGTCTATAAAACAAACCGAGGAGCCCGCAACGGAGCCCTGACTGTAATTGCGAACACCTGTGTGGCGGGCGGCACCGGGCAAAGGATCGATGCAGGAATGGTTGCGCAGAGAGAACAATCCATGCGGGGTGGGGCAGGGTGGGCTTTGAGCCAGGCCGAGAACATCTGTGCATCTGTTAGCAGAACCTGCTGCAACAGGGTTTCGCTGTGCCTGCCAGATGTGGAGCTGGAGAACCCAGCTCGAGGGAAAATAGGAACAAAGCCCATTGTGAGCAATTAGTGAACTCCAGCTCGCGAAAGGCCATGCCCAGAGAATGTTGAGAGCTTCGACACAGAAAGTCCCCGCTAGCCCAATGACTGGGACTCTTCTACTGTGTTCAGAGATACTCTTCCACCTAGATGCACGTCGGTCCCCAAATGTGATCGCCCTCTCGTTTGGACGACTCATAAGTACACCAATAAGTGCGGCTTTCATTATGTTAAACACTTAAACCATGGGTCCCCCCCAGATTGCACCTGATTTTATCAGGATGAGTCCCCAATTAAACTGGTAGCTTCTTGGCCTTTCTACTTAAATTGAAAATGTTTCCCAGGGGCATCCGAGGCTTTTGAAAATGGAATCAAATTGAGTTATAAGCTCGTTTTCTGAATTGTTTTTTTTTTAAATGCCTGTTTGCATAACCTATTCTTCTACGTTCAGCCCGAAATCTGCCTCTCCATTAGTTACACTGATTCATTGTCGTCTGAGCTTGCAACAGCCTCCACACACTCAATGCTTGAATTGTCTGCTCTTTTAAGACTGAAAATATCAGAATGAAGAACGGGGCTTTCTCTGCTCATCTCTCAAGCTCTCAGCACTACCCTTTGCATCCAGTGTGTACTCAGGAAAGAAGGGAAGACAACAGAGCTAAGAGAAGAACGGAAGGCTGAGGAAGGGCCATTTCTCTGGATTTTTTTTTTCAGAGACAAATAGTAATCCCTTCATGCAAAGGGCTCCGTTGATGAGAATGCTTGCCTAGTGTGGGGATTTGGATGAGAAATTCAACCCAGAGGCCTGAGTTTTTGAGTGTTTGATTCCTAGTTGGTGGCATTGTCTGGGGACCCTGCAGTTTTGTTGGAAGAAATACATGACTGAAGACTCGGGGTTTGAGAACTCAGCATCGTATACTTCCGGTTTGCTCTTTCGTGTGTGTGTGTGTGTGTGTGTGTGTGTGTGTGTGTGTGTGTGTTTGAAGGTGTCATCTCTTAGCTTCCTGTTCCTGCTACCACGGAGGCTTTTTGTTGCTCTGCCTTTCCCAATATCCCATCTCCCCTATGACGGACTCTTATCTGTTTGGAACTGTCAGCCAGGTAAACTCTTTCTTCCTTTGGTTGTGCCGTTTTACCACAACAGAAACTTAACTAATAACCTAGCATGTTTGAGGCCCAAGATTTATTTCCCAGCAGGAAGTCTAAAGCTGAGTGTGGCGGCGTGTATATCAAGGTAGCCCTTGGGAGGGACAGGCAGGGGAATGAAGAGCTCCAGGCCATCCTTGGTTACACAGTGAGTTTGGGGCCAGTCTGGGCTCTAGGAGGCCCTGCCCCAAACAACCAACACCCTTAGGTGAAATGCTGGTAAATTGTATTCTTTTGTTTCACTATGTTGGTTTTAAGTTTGTAAGTTATTAGTGATAAATATTGTGGTATACATCTTCTCATTGATCAGTAATATAAAAGTAATAGAATAAAATTCAAGAATAAAATGTTAGCAGTGACCATTCACTGAGCCCTGGAAAGATAACATCATGTGCTCTCATTTGATCTTTATTTTTTATTTTTGTTTTTGTTTTTTTCCCCCATCAGGGTTTCTCTGTGGCTTTGGAGCCTGTCCTGGAACTCACTCTGTAAGACCAGGGCTAGCCTTGAACTCACAGAGATCTGCCTGCCTCTGCCTCCCAAGTGCTGGGATTAAAGGCATGTGCCATTACCGCCTGGCTTCATTTGGTCTTTATAGCAGTCTCTGAAACATGTCCTGTTAACAGCCACTTCTTCTGTGAACCCAGTCTTAGAGAAACTATGGACCAGAATCACATCATCAGCCCCTAGCAGCCAGATGAGGCAGACCTGGATGACTTTACCTCCTTGCGATGCTGCCCACGGTGCAAAGAAAACCCAGGAAGCTAGGTTTGTCAAGGCACCCCTGTAAGGCCAGCTCTAGGAGGCGGAGGCAGGGGGATGGTAAGCTTGAGGTCAGAGTGGGCTACATAGTAAGTCTGAGGCTGTGTAGGCAGACAAACAAACAAAACAGAGACAGCTCCAGAGGAGAGAGAGAAGAAGGGAGAGAAAGAAAACGCTGAAAGAACATGCCTTCTATCCTGGAGGCTGAAGCAGTAGGATTGCAAGTTCAAGGCCTGTCTGGGAAATTTAGTGAGACTCTGTCTCAAAGAAATAAATGTGTGTGTGCATGCTGGACCCTTGGTTCAATCCCTAAGTACTGTGGGAAAAATGAAACAAGAAAATAGGCTATGATCAGGTGAATCCCCATCAAGAATTACTATGATGTTACACTTCTCTCTCTTTTGAATGAGTTGTGTAGACATGGTTTTAGTATGAACCCAAGCATGCAGAAAACATTTAGTAAAAGCTCATAGAGGTCATAAATATGGACAGCAGTTTTGAACATTGTCTTCAAGAACAAACACTAAAACGATAGTGTAAATAATCTTGGGGAATTGGCAACAAAATCAAAATCTGAAATTATAACATCACTTCTAGAAATGTCAGAGATCGCACGCTGAGTGGGCAGACTGAATCCTTTACGGTGGTTTTACCACATCTAGCGATCAAAACAACCTCTGGGGTTCGCTTCTTCCTGGTCTTACCTTCCCGTATGGCTGTGAAAGGGACGCCCTCCTCCGCGTTCATGCTGATGACTTTCAGAGCTACCAGTTGTCCGTTTATCCTAGGAAGGGATGGGACAGACAGATGCACGCTCACTGAGATGGTCCAAAGCAACGAACGGCTCACACACAGATGCTAGAACAAAGGCTTGTGTTCCTCCACAAGCCCTAGAATATAAACCCACAATTTCCTCAAAACAACGAGCCTGTTACACATATAACGTGTGGCACACACACACACACACACACACACACACACACACACACATATATATATATATTTCCCAGTAGCCTTTTCTTTACTTGCGTGGTCGATTTTCTTTATAGGACATTCAGAGTAAGCAGGAAGGCGTCCAGAGGCCACCTCCCTCCCTGGTGTTTGCTGATCCCTTTGGTGCACTTAAGCCAGGCTTGTCTGCCATCTAACTTTGGCTGTGGCTTCATAACCGTCTCCTTGATCTTTTCTGTCCACTCTCTGTAGAGTCCCTAGGGACATACTTCTCAAATGAAAGTCAACTTGTCTCTTACTTTGCAAAACCTACTGTTTCTCCGCCCTTCGTTTCAGATAACAGCCAAATTTTCTTCCTTTTTCTTTTTGTTGTTGTTGTTGTTGTTGTTGTTGTTGTTGTGTGTGTGTGTGTGTTTGCGTGCACAGGGTAGGGAGATGTGGGTCTTGAAATGTAGTCTTGACTGACTTCCAACTTTCAATTCTCCTGAATGAGCCTGTTAACAGCCAATGTTGGCAGTATTCTCCAAAGTATTGTCTGATTGACCTAGGTCTCACCGTTCTCTTTCTTCTTTTCCTCTCCCTCCCTCCGTCTTCTCTCCACTTATGTATAGTTTTGTTTTGATATTAGATAAGTGTAGATATCCAAGAAGGTTTTTATGACCATGTTGTTTCTAATATGGAGAGATTCACTCTCAATAATCTGTTCTCTCTCGGTTTCACATTTTCTCTTATCGTTCATGATGTTTTTAATAAACAAGCTAGCCTTGAACTTATAACAATCTTCCTGCCTCAACTTTTCAAGTCCTGGGATTATAGGCATAAGCCACCATGCCTGGTTTTGTTGTTTACTATTGCAAAATGGGATATTTAATAATGTTATAGTATTTTATCATACAGACACACCACAGTGTGTTCTGCCAATTCCAAATTCTTATAAATTACAGTTTGGGGTTATTTTAAGAATACCATGATGGGCATGGTGGCTCCTGTTGTAACCTTAGCCCTTGAGAGGCTGAGGTAGGAGGAAGGTTGTTACAATGTCAGACTGGTCAACGTGGTGACCAGAGACTAGCTTGGGCTAGCAGGAGACTGTTTCCCTTAAGGAAATAATGGGGCTATAGGAAAAGATTTAGCTACAGAAATGATCATGATAATTTTTCATTTTATTTGGTTTTTGCTTTAAAATTCATTTTTGAGAACAATTTTAGAGTTCTAGAAAAATTGAGAAGACAGTATAGAAAGTTCCCACGTCTTTACACTGTTTCTACTACTGTTGACTCTTACTTAGCAAGGCGAAGCTATTACAACTGATGAACCAAGCTGGGCACAATGACCTACACCTGTAATTCTAGCACTTGGAAGATGGAGGAAGGAGAATGAAGGAGTTCAAGGTCATCCTCAGCTACATTTGAAGGTCAGCCAGAACTGAAACTCATGAATCTATCTTTTTAAAAAACAACAAACAACAACAACAAAAAGAACAAAACAAAAGAAACAAACTAACTAAAACACTAAACTAGTATAAAATAATGATAATAATTAATGAACTAATATTGATGAATGTCATTAAAGCATATTAGAATTCCTTCAGCTTTTACTTCATGACCTTCTAATTGCCCAAGATGCTATCCAGGACTACATTTAGTTGATGTGTCTCCCTAGGGTCCTCTTGGCTGTGCACTTTGCCAGATTTTCCTTGGGTTTGGTGACCTTGATGGTCCTGGGGCATGCTGGTTAAGAACTTTGTAGAGTTCCTCTCTTAGACATTTTCCCTGAAGTTTCTCTTAAGACTAAGCTGGGATTCTGAATTTGGGGATGGTTAGGAACTATCTTGATGATATTGTACCATGGGGGCTCTCTTTGGCCATGACTTGGGTCTTTGGATGTTGACGGTAACTGCCTGTCTAAGGTAGCACTCCTTGACAGTCTATTGCAAAGTGACTATTTTAGAATCCACATCACTAAGTGTAACTTAGTGTACTTTGGGCAATGGGCCCACTGAGATCCTCTTCCGACAGTAGACCTGTGTAAGAAATCTGGAATTCTTTTGCATGGGAGATTTCTTTCTCCTCTCTTATTTATTAATTTATTGAGCCATTCCTTCGTAGCAGCAGCGACTCATAGATATTTTATTCTTTGGGTTATAACTCAATACCACTTAATTTTGTGCCCTGGTTTTGGCAGGTTTTCCCCTTGGAAACTCTTCCGTTGATGTCCATGCCACTGTGCCAAACCCTTCATCAGGGGGAGCTTAGTTTTGTTTTTACCTCCACAGTCTGGCCTATGCATATATCGCTTTTTAATTAATTTCTTTACATCTGGAACTGCATTTTCCCAGTCATTTCTGTTTATTCTGTCCCTCCCTCACCTTTTTACAGGAACATTTGACATAAATTTTTTTTACTGCTTGCTTTCACTTGCCTTTCAAGTTTCGAGCTTAATTTTTTTTTATGTGGGAAATACTAATTTCCCAGAATATTTTACTGAGGGCATGACTCTGCAAAATTTTATTCCACCCACTCCAAACAACAACACCAACAACTTTTTTTGTCAAATATGTTTAGAAATGCTGTGCACTTTCAGGATTTCCACTGCTCTTGGGTAGCCGTGGTACACACAGGCAGTTTTGCAGGGCTGAAGGTATCTGTTGTAAAGGAATTTGGTTTTGTCTAGGGTTGCCAGCATCCATTGGACTTCAGCTGTTTCAATGAAACCCTCATTCAAGTGTCTTGGAATCGGTGCTCTCTGGAACGCCCGTAGGCAGATGGGCACCGTGGCCACTCCATCCCCCTGTGTCCAATGTTATGTGCGTAAACAGACCTCCCCAGCCTCAAGGGTGCACCCACTTCATCTTTCTGTCTAACTGCTGTGCATTTCCTTGTTCATTTAAATCTTTACTCCACTGTATTTATTTATTTGTTTATTTATTTATATTTTTTGAGACAGGGTTTCTCACACATACTCCCTCCAGCTCCTCCCAGCCCTCATCCCCTTCCTACTCCTCCAACCTTGGGGTCAATTCTGACACAGGGATTTTTTAAGCTGTTTTCCCCTGCTTGGAGTTGTCCTCTGTGTCCCTGCATCTAGTTCATCGTCACCTCTCTCAGATTCCCCGTCCAAACCTTTCTCTCTCTGGGAGGCCTCTTCTCGCTGCTCTTTATAAAATCGTGATCGCCTCGCTGCCTCCGTTCCATTCCCACACTATTTTATTAATTTGTTTATCATCTTGGGCTCCTCCCACACTCCAGAAATGCAGAAGTATTTGTCTCTGGTTTTCCGAAGTATTCTTAACAGGTAAAACGTGGTGTGGGTCATAGCAAATATTCACAGCATAAAAAGCTCAGCTGCTCACACAAACTGTCTGGTATAAGTCTTTTATGTACCATAACAACTCTTTATGTATCCTGTTTATTTTGATGCTAATATCATACTTTTGTTACTATTGTAAGAGTAATTTTTCTAAATATTTTCTAAATAGTTATTTCTAATACAATAGCAACTGATCACATGATTGTTGTGTGATACTAGGGCTAACAATCTTAGGTGGATTGCCTTCGGTTTTTTAGAAAGACCGTATTACAATCCAAAAGATGATTTTTGGTCTCAGTCTTTTTTTTTTTAAGTCAGACAGAACATTTAAGGTAGTTTTATTTTTATTTATTTTTATTATTTCTGTTTTTTGTTTCTGAGATAAGATCTCACTTTGCCCTGGCTGGCCTTCAGTCTTCCTACCGTGGCCTCCTGAATGAGAGGACTGTGGGTGTATGCCACCACACCTGCCTTTTGTGTTACTTGATGATGCGCTTTTACAACGTAAGTGTGTTCTTCGTGAGAGCATCCAGTTTCAATCACTAAAGATAAATTTTTGTCCTCAGACTCTTCTGGGTATGTTTCAATCTATAGAAGCACTAAGGGTTTATTTTATTTATTTTATTTTTTTTTCTTAAACAGGACTGTAGAATACAGGTTGTTCTATAGGTACCATCACTACCCCCTCCACATCGTTTTCTTAGTATAGTGGATATTTACCTGGGCCTGCTTTAATGGAAGTTTGAGGTAAGTTTTTATTTTTATTTATTATATTATATTTTTATTATATTATATATTATATCTATTTATTACACCATATTTATTATAATATGTTTGTATTATTATATTATTTTATTTATTTATTATACATTATTATATTCATTATATTATTTTTATTTATTATATATTATACTATAGTATATTTATTATATTATAAATATCTCTCCTCCTATGTAATATACATGTATATGCATGTATATAATCTTTTGAGATATATTATATACAGTAGAAATTAATGATTTTTTTCTAATATATAATACATATATTAGTCTTTTATGGCAAGGTCTCGTGCTGGATCTAAAGTAGTCTGGTGGCTAGCAAGCCCAACCAATCCTACCACCCCCTCTCTCTTCACAACACTAGGGTTATAAGCATGTGTAGCTCCACCTGGATTTTTATGTGGTTGTGGGGATTTGAACTCAGGTCAGGAAGCATTTTTTTTAATATTTATTTATTATGTATTCAATATTCTGAATGTGTGTATGCCTGAAGGCCAGAAGAGGGCACCAGACCTCATTACAGATGGTTATGAGCCTGGGAATTGAACTCAGGACCTTTGGAAGAGCAGGCAATGTTCTTAACCGCTGAGCCATCTCTCCAGCCCATTGGGAAGCATTTCTAATGCACTTTTATCCTATTACTAAGCTGAGTTTCTTGAAGGAAATATTTTATATTCTTAGTTCTTAGGGTAATCTATAGTCATGAATCAAATCCTGGTTCTATACAACAAATCTGAAATTGTATTTTCCTAGTAATTTTATTTTAACAAAGACAACAACAAATATACAAATTCTAAGATAAATAACAATACTTAGTATTATGAGATTTGTACTTTTAAAATAAGACTACCATTAAGTGATTATTTTCTCTATTAGAATACTGTAAATTAAGGGATAAAGTTTTCCACCTTTCTTACCCTTTCTAGAAGGCAACCAGAAAGACCAGAATTCTGTCTTAGAACTGGTACCTGGGCTTTGGATAAACCTTCTTTTCCCCATTTTGTGCGTTTCACAGGTGCAGAAGATGCAGGCATAGCTTTTGCATATCCACACTAGAGACTTAGGAAGGGTCTAGAAAGACTCTCTAGAGACATCTGACCAGCTGGGTTTCTCTATAGGTGGCAATTGTTCTTTCAGTCAACAGAGGAGAAAGCCTACCTTCTCCAGCAGTTGATTTTAGCTAGACAAGAGCTGTGTTGTTGTGGGGGTTTTTTGTTGTTGTTGTTATTGTTGCTGTTTTGTTCTGTTCTGTTTCGGGGTTGTTAAAATCACATCTCCTTCCTGTTAGCCCAGACGTCTCAACACAACTCCAAAGGTTGTGAATGTCTGTGATATGTTGACGGAAATTTAGAAGGCAATAGGAGACACCCCCATCTACAGTCTTCAACAAGGGACTCACCTGCTAATCCCCTTGTAAACCTTGGCATAAGAACCTTCTCCCAGCTTCTCCAAGTTCAAGTAAGATGAGGCTGCCCCAAAGGGGAGGCTCTTCTTCTGCTTACAGGGTGGGGTGAGAGGTGGGAAGACAGAAAGAGCACTTAGAAAATAATGTTGACTTGTCTTTTCCCTAGGGGCATTAGACAGTATTGGGGGGCGGGGGAGGAACTCATACAGGCATCCCAGGAAGACGAGGGCCAGCTTCCCTTAGACAAGCACCCTTGAAATCCTTCTCGATGACTGTCAGTGGCTCACTCACCCATGGCAACCCCTGCCGCAGACTCTCTTCCTGAAAAGAATCACTGTTGCTCCGTGGCCTTTTCCTCTCCAGCTGGCTACTGACAGCCTGGAGTCCCCTGGGGTAAAATAAAGCCGTGGAGCATGGTGCTCCTTTTCTGTCTGTTAGCTAGAGGGAAAAGAAAGTACAGGAGCAAAGTGTATATAAAATCAAATTTTGGTGGCTGGCGAAGCCTTTTCTCGGTTTTGTTAGCCTGTTGTGTTTGTTTGTTTGTTTGTTTCTAAGATCCTTCCACTCCCTAAAGGCTCCTCTCCTGAAAGTCAGATCCCTTAGAGACCACCATGGTACCGATCACTGAAATACCAAATTTAACTCAGTCTCCTTGATGAGTGTTTCCAAATTTCTCCGTTTAACTCGGTCTCCCCCATGCCCAACTGCTTCCCTACATGCTTAATGTAATATCTTAGAATAATCTAGTAAGGCACTGCTAATAATCAGGAGATAATTACTGAAACTGAGAATCCCCGGTGGACCTACCAGTATGGCAGCTTGCCCTCTTATGGTTCTGCCCTGCCATTTAGTGGCTCAGAGATGTCCAGAGAAGAGCCACTTTCTCTGTTTCAAGTCAAAAGAGACCAAAGCCAAAGATTACTCCCCTCTTCTGGTTTACAAGCACACCCCAAAACTTGATAACTACGGCCGTAAATCCTCTGTGACTTTAATAGAATTCTCTTTTTTATGAGTTTAGACCTACCACAGAGGACTCAGACCCTGCTGCAGAAGGGAGCGTCTGTCTGAATTGCTTGGTTTACCAATAAAGAAAGATGCTCCTCCCGGGATACAAATACCTCGAACGCAGCAGCCTCAGTGCTCCCAGGCTGGCTTCTCCGACAGCTGTGCGCTTCCCCTCCCTCCGAACGGTGGTAGCAACTGCATCCCGGCTGTAGCCTCTTTGCACACAGCTCCTGACCCATAATAGTCCAGGTTCAAGGAGAAAACCCGCACTTGAACGTCTCCCCATCCGCCTCTGCCGTCCTCCTTCGCTCCCTTTTTTGCCAGAGGTCAGCAGAGCGGAGCTTTAGCATGACTCACACGAGGGCTCCGTCTGGAGCAGCCTCATGACTTCAGCAGTTTTTGCTTTTATCAGCGCAAGGAGCTACGCATCAAAACCGCAGCGGCTGGTGTTCGCATGTGCACACCGGAAAACAAGGAAGCTCTTCCTGGAGAGAATTTTACTGGGTACATTGACTGCACTTACTCCAGACTCAAATCAGTGCTGTGACTGCACTTGCTTTTCGGGAATTTGCATTGATGTGTTTATTGGACTCCCCTTGTACTAAAGGGGTCAACTAGGAACATTTCATTCCTTCCTTTCATCTGAAAACCTCTTGGTTTTCAATTTTTTTTCTTTTAAGGCAATGTCTCCCACAAGAGCCCAGCTATCTTTGAACTTGAGGCAATCCTCCTGCCTCATCCTCTCTAGTTCCGGGATTGCAGATGTGAGTCACATGGCTCGGGCTTGTTTTCTAACATTAAAACAAATTTGCCATCTAGGCAATCTTTAGAGCCAAAGAAACCACAGAATGGAAGGATGATAGGAAGAAAGCTGAGGCTTCCTGCTCCATCTCTGCCTCCAAGTTAAAGCGCGTCTCCTAGTCTGACAGGCTACAGGCATTTTCTCATGTATTCAGACACTATGTAATAAACACCGACGTTGATAATACGCCACAAACAGCGATGAGAGTCAGTGATAGAGAGAGCGGTTTGAGCGAGGTGTGTGCACATGTAATCTCAGTGCTTTGTAGGATGAAGTAGGAGGATGGCGAGTTCGAGACCAGCCTGGACTATGTAGAAAGATTCTTTTTCAAATAAAGAGGGAATCTCTCTCTCTCTCTCTCTCTCTCTCTCTCTCTCTCTCTCTCTCTCTATATATATGTGTGTGTGTGTACACTTGCATGTGCATAAGGTATCTTCTCATTTCGCCGATCCCTTTGTTCATTATATATATATGTATATATATATATATAGTTAATGTTTAGTGTATGTAAACACCATATTAGTACTTGGTATTTCCAGGACTCTGGACCAAACTACTTTGTAGTCTGTGATCTTGGGCAGAACTTTTTTTTTTTTTTCGAGACAGAGTTTCTCTGTGGCTTTGGATCCTGTCCTGGAACTAGCTCTGTAGACCAGGCTGGTCTCGAACTCACAGAGATCCGCCTGCCTCTGCCTCCCAAGTGCTGGGATTAAAGGCGTGCGCCACCACCACCTGGCTTAAACTTTTTTTTTTTTTTTTTTGGTTTTTCGAGACAGGGTTTCTCTGTGGCTTTGGATCCTGTCCTGGAACTAGCTCTGTAGACCAGGCTGGTCTCGAACTCACAGAGATCCGCCTGCCTCTGCCTCCCAAGTGCTGGGATTAAAGGCGTGCGCCACCATCGCCCGGCTGGGCAGAACTTTTGCTCTGTGAGGCACTCATAATACTATTTCCGTTGTAATATGCAACCACAGGGTGTAGGTTACTTGTACACATGTGCAAAAATTTCTCTGAGAAAAAGAGCTATGTTTATTGTTACAACAGCATTAATGATATCTAACATCTGAACTTTCAGACGTTAAGCTTTAAACCTTGTAGGATTTAATCTTGAGCATGTACTTTAAGTTTTATTTCAAAATTTCTACAAGAAAGTAAGGTATGGGGCCCAAACCCGTGTTTTCAACAGGTGGGAAAAAAAGCAAGAAGATTGTCATGAATTAGAGGCCAGCCTGGGCTACAGAGTATCTCAAGACAAAGGCAAAAGAGAAACAAGTTGCTACATAAGATCTGAGGCAAGTCTAGCCAATGATTTACTAAAAATTGAGACATTTATAAAGAGAGACCAATGACACACACAGAACAAAGACAAGGTAGAAAGACTGTTACCCCTCAAATCCAATTAACACTTGACTGATATACAGCTGAGGGCCACTTTTTTCATCATAATTACACATTCCACTTGTTCATTATAATAAATTTTGTCAGAAATGTTCATTTCGGGTCTGGGGAGATAGTTCATTGGGTAAATGTCCCCACCACCAAGCCGCCTGACCTCAGTTCAGCGTTAGAACCTCAGATGAGAGGAGAGAACTGACTTTGGCCAGTTTCCTTTGAGTTCACCACAGCATACACTTAATTAAGACACTGAAATGTTAAAAAAATTTAAAGAAGTACTAGCTCTTTCCTCAAAGATTGTGGACTTTATCACAGACAAATTACATCCTAGCTGGATGGGGATACAGGCCTGGAGTCTGTGGCAGACTTTGGAACCTGAGGCAGAAAGATCCTGAGTCTGAGGCCAGCCTGGACTACATATTAAGACCTTACTAAAAAACAAAACCAAACAAAACCTATGTTCTAGGCCCGGGTTAAGATAGTTTCATAAATTTTAGGTTGGTGTGTGTATGTAGGTTGGAGAGTATTTTACTCTGTAGCCCTGGCTAGCCTGGAACTCATTATGTAGGTCACAGTAGCTTCCAACCTGTGGTAAGCCTCCCGCCTCAGCCTTCCAATTTCCAGAATTACAGGTGGCATAACCTACCAAATAAGTTTAAAATTTTTTAAATGACCAGCATTTGTGTTAGCTCACAAATATGCTTAATAGAATATCTGACTTTTCCCGTTAATTTTTTTGTATATGTGTGTGTGGAGGGGTGTAGATGGCTTATTACTTAGGTTTAAATTGCCGTTTGTGTACTAGAGAGCGCTACTGAAGGGAAACTAAAATATCCGTCAGAATTTCCAAAAATTAAATAATTCATGGTTTGCTGAAGTTCGAGGAAAAACATCAGATGACCTTTTAAAATGTTTTCCAGCTCGATGTCCAAAGCGATAGTTTCTGTTACCAAAGACTTCTAATAAGGACGGGGATTGCGATGATTTCCCGGCAAACTGTAGGTCAGAGCAGTTTGTGCTGCAGACCGACTAGCCTGAGGCCTTCTGCAGTCTGACGTCCCAGAGGAGGCCCAGCCCGCCCCAGGCATGCGCACTGTCGCTGCCTAAACGGACTGACCCAGACTGAGCCAAGGCGCTCAACTGTGCAGCAAGACCCCTCAGGCCAGCTCAGGGTGGCTTAGCCCTGCCTGCCTCGCCCTCTTCCTACCCTCCTGTTATCCTGGGCTCGCGTTTACTGCTCCTCCTCTTTCTCTTCTGTCTTCTTTCCCGGGAAGCTGGGTTCGGAACAGTGGTAGCCTCTGTTCGTTCGTTCATTCATTTACTGTTTATGTCTCTATCGAGTTGATGTTTTGAGAAAGCCTCATGCAGTGTGGACTGGATTTGAACTTGGTATGTAGCCAAGGGTGCGGATGAGTTCCTGGTCCTCCTGCCTCCACCTCTGAGTGCTGCTGGGATTACAGGTGTGTGCTCTATATCCAGGAGCTCTCTCTCTCTCTCTCTCTCTCTATATATATATATATATATATGTCAATAAATAAAATTGCCGGTTATCAATAATTTCAGTTTAGGTTCTCTATCGTATTTTGGCTGTTGCTTTTCCTCTCTCAAATGTTGTAGATTCAAATTACTGTGTTTTATTTGAGAGCTTGTGTATTTCTTCAATTTCCATTCTGCTTTTTATTAAATTTAACAATTTTGGGGGGATAGGATCTAATGATTTTTATTGAATATGTGGGTAATCACAGATGTTCTACACTACTAACATGAAAAAATGTGGTCATAAGTGTTAAAATAATCCCTAACAGCCACAGAATGGAAGCCCAGAAGTAGAACAAGATCTTTACTTGATGACCAAGTGATTGATCGTCACTGTACATCGTTAAGCGAAGGAAGAAAACGAAGAGCAATGACTATACCAAGTTACCAAGTTACTCTGGCAGTAAAGAAATGACACAAAAGACGTTGCTAATTTCTGTGCTTTAAAAGGTCCCGGTTGTCTTTAGCATTGCCCGATAGCTTCTGCTCCGTCCTAGTGGAACAGCCTAGCTTGGATCCCAGTCCTTTGACACGGCGGTGCACACTCCAGTCTAAAAAGTAGGGTTAGGACCGTTATTTAAGATACACACTGGAAGTTATTACTACTTTCCAAGATGCATGTGTTGTGGGTATGTAAATACAAATAAATGCAAATTGCAAAAATAAATGCGAGGTAAAATCTGATCACCAGGATCTCTGTGAGACCTCACGAAGCTCCCGCTCCCGTCCAATTCCAAGGGTGCCTGAGCCCCTTTTGACCCTGGTTCTGGGACGAGGACAACCTTGTACTAGCAGCACCACCTGGTGGCTAGGATGAGAACTGACTAGGTCAAGTTTTTCTTAGAAACTCCAAGTCTCGGCATGCGTCCCAGTTTCCTTAGACTTTGCAGTTCAGAGCTGACCTGATCCCACCTCAGGTAGTCTTTTTCCTCGCCTTTACACACATCTCTTTTTTATTTTTTCTTTGTGTTATTCAGTTGTTCATAATTTTTTCTGACTCTCCCACCTATCTTCAGCCTGACAGTCGCTAGCATCGTCTCAGACAGCTGGGGCTGCGATGCTCGCCTATGACCACACCACTCTGGCTACCCTCCGCCGTGCCTGAAATGTACGGGCTTGAACAATGACCTTGAAAAATCGAGCATTCCAAACCTTTCTGCAAAACATTCAGTTCACGTCCTCTCTTCAGAAATACAGTCCTTACCAGCTCTTAACTCCCCCACCCCCCCAAGTCTGTTTGTTTTTCCATAAAGCTGTCTTCTGTGGTAGCCAAGTGGAGAGATGGTGGCTCAAAAATCAGAAGTGAAGTTCCTCAACCTAACATTTTAGACTCCTTGGATAAAGAGGCATCGGCTCAAGTCTGAGCTGCTGCTTCCAGTGGGCATGGGGCAACGTGGGAGAGGGGAGAACTGGGAGTCGGAGGGCTCACGCTCAGGGAGAGGTGCCGCTGGAATGGCATCCAGTTTACTGTCATCCTGGAGACTTCAGGCAGCTGTTTTTTTCCCACAA